CAGGTGGCACTGGAAAGACGTTTCTTGCAAATTTGATACTTGCTAAGATACGACAATCGGGGAAGATAGCGATAGCAGTTGCTTCGTCAGGAATTGCTGCAACTCTCTTAAAGAATGGAAAAACTGCTCACTCTACTTTTAAGCTTCCGCTATCTTTAACTCTTGCGCAACATTCTACATGTTCTATCCGCAAAAATGGGCCTTTTGGTAAATTACTACAAGACGCCTCATTAATTATGTGGGATGAATGCACCATGAGCCATAGAGCACATATACATATAGGCTATGGACAGAACCTTAAAAGATCTTAGAAACTCCTCTGCTCTCATGGGCGGGATTACTTTTGTATTTTCTGGAGATTTCCGACAGACACTTCCCGTCATTAATAGAGGTACGCGAGCAGATATCATCAAAACATGATTGAAATCGTCTCCCTTATGGACTTCGATTGAAAATTTAAAATTACGGACGAATATGAGGGCTCATCTTCATGGAATCACAGATAATGATTTCCCACAACAACTGCTAAAACTTGGGGAAGGAATTTTTCCCACTCCAAATTTAAGCAGAAATTGAGACGTCTTTCTGGATGAGTCTCTAGGCCAAATAGTCCATAATTTAGAAATTTTAATAGATGCAGTATACCCTGACATCGAGAATTTGAACGAAAAGGACTTTTATTGGTTGTGTTCTAGAGCAATAGTGTCGCCTAGGAATGATACTGTCAACGAAATAAACAATCTGATTATTCAAAAAGTCCCCGGCCATATAAAAAATTACAAATCGATCGACACCGTGTTTAATATCGAAGACACATTCCATTACCCACAGGAATTTTTAAATTCACTATACCCTTCTGGACTACCACCACACGAATTGACGTTAAAAATCGGAACGCCAATCATGCTTCTGAGAAATTTAAGCCCCCCAAGCAAGTGCAATGGGACGAGGCTGCTTATTAAGGAACTGAAGGACAATTTAACTGTAGCGACCATTATCACCGGCCCATCAGTTGGTCAACTAGCTCATATACCGAGGATACCGATGATCCCAACTGATCTGCCAATCCCATTTAAACGGCTTCAATTTCCGGTAAAAACATCTTTCGCGTTAACTATTGACAAGTCCCAAGGCCAAAGCTTCGAATTAGTAGGGATCGACCTACGAAAAGAGTGTTTTACTCATGGCCAATTGTATGTAGGCCTATCGCGGGTCGGGGCTCCTAAAAATCAATTTATTTTGCTGCCAAAAAATAAAACCACATCAAATATCGTTTACAGGGAAGCTCTGACCCAATAAATTTAATGGCTTATGTTTTGTAGATATTATCTTTATACAAATATTAGAAATAAAAATAAAATAATCAAATATTAAAAAAGAACAAAAAAAGATACGTAAAAAATAATAAAAAAATCATTATCTATACTTATATATATAATATTATAAAGAGGAAAGATGTTTTTGTTAGTTTGTTTGTACCAAATAAGTCCGAAACTACTGGACCGATTTTAATCAATTTTTACCAATAGAAAGCTAAATTATAGGGGGGGAGGGTGAGTGGATAAAATTTAAATTTTCTGTATAACGTGTATATGCCGATAGATAAAAGTACTCCATTAATTTTGCTAATTTTTTAGCTAAAATGATTGAACTAAATGAGCGAGGTGTCATATCATGTCGCGCGGCAGAGACGCGTGATATACGCGGGTGAAACCGCGGGGTACAGCTAGTAATTTTATATAACACTAAAAACCCTTCACTGCTGGCCGTGTGAGGAAGCTTAAAGTCGCTCAGCGAGCTACGGAGACTGCTATGCTCGGAGTTTTCTGCATGATAAACATAGAAATAAGGATATTCACAGTAGAACCGGAGAGACCGAGAGAGTAAAAGTAAGCATAGTAATAGTAGATTAGTAACCTTAAGTGGCAATGGCCGGCCTTATAGTTCGAAGAATCGACAACCGAAGTGGGGGAAAAAGATTCTCGAGTGGCAGCCTCGTACCGGTGGATGAAGTACAAGGCGACCCTCCAATAGATGGAGTGACAACCTGGTAAGATATACAGGTAGTCGGTGGATGCAGGTGGATCAGAACCGTGCTTTGTGGCACCCCTTGGGGGAGGCCTATGTTCAGCAGCGGTCTTATGAAGGGCTGTAAGTAATGAATAAAAAATACTAAAAATCACTTTTACTAACAATGAACTTATGCGGACTATGATGATTTAGACATGTAGACAGCGGCACCAGTCTATCGACACGTTTACAATTTGCTGGTATGCGTAAATGCAATGAAACAAACACAAATGCTGTATGGTTCATAAAAGATAGCTTGATCTCTGGGACAGCCGTCAGTAAAAATTACGCCTATGAAGTTCTGAATTTCTTAGTAGTACAGACAGTACCCGTCAAAGTCATACTTTACGGGCATGCACTAATTAGGTCGGCATGCCCATAACAAGTATATAGTAGTATGTTTTTCTTGCGTCCCCCTTACATTGACAGACTTTTTGTTTAGAAATTAACGCGCATGGCCCCTCCAATTGGTAGAACACTCAAAGAATATGACACATTATAATATTGTAAATATTTTTGCAAATAAAATACGTCAGGCTAGGCTGTATAGCTTAAGACCTTTACCTACCTTAATTGGGAAACGTAACATCAACTCTTTGACAAACACTTTTGAAAGTTGACAATTATTGTCAACTTTTGTGTTGATGATTTTTCTAAGCTTACCAAATTCAGCAAGAAACTACGAATCTAGCAGAATTTTTGCCTTAAAATGACATGATAAAGACAAACTGCTGAGTTTGTCTTTATCTTCTATTTTTTTAACGGATTGATAATAAATAACACAATATATTATAGGGATAGAAAGGGAGTGAATCGCATTGCGTCCCATCAGGAAGTTTCTCTATAAAAAAAATATAATAAAATATAATAAAATTTTTTTTATAATAAAGTATTGTTGATTGTTTCTAAAAATAGTTTCCGCAATTTTAGTTCTATATTATCAACAAGGTATTAGGATACATTTATCGTGCTTGACAAACCTATACTTTATTCCTTAGGAAATTAATTGATTGCACAGTAAGTTTCTATTGCTTAGTCTACTGCTGACATGCAGTTTGTTATCTTTTGCAAAAATCTTATATCTATAGAATAATGAATATCGCATAATGGAATTTGATAAAAGTTTGGCCGAGGAAGTAACTAAAGTATACACCTCGGGGAACGGCCGACGACGTTCATTATGGGTGGTACAGAACTATTCTATATATACTGGAGTGGTTCAAAAATTACAACAGTGTTAGTCAGGATTCGGTTAGTTTCGCTCGTGGTGAGACATTAGCGCCGTCACAAAAGTACAACTAATATCTTAGCCAGCACCACGGCAATGTTGGTAGTTTCGATATTAGTAAAAATACTCAAATATATACATAATTTTCTAAGAGCAATGTGTATCTCAAATGCATCACATTTCCTGTTACATCTTTCGTTGCCTTCTTCTTTTTCGTCAGATTCCGCAAACTAATCAAAAACCCGGTATTTCAATGTTCTATTAATTATTATTTACAAATACCTACATTGCGGATAAGTGGCCGTCTATAAATCAATTGATGTTTCTTTTTGACAAAATTTTAACCGCCTTCTCGCCCCTGGTGATACGTAGTGTGGTTTTAGACTAACCTCGCCTCCCTTACTCAAAATCACTTGTATATTTTTGGTGCAAAGTATCTTAAATACTTTCAGAATATTATTTGTAAATACAGGTATAATCTCATTTAATTTTGATAAATTAAGGACCGGAGGCTAACGTTGCAGGTGGTTTTTGACTAGCTTAAAATAATAATGGAAAAGCGTAATCAGGTGTAAAACATATAATTGTACTGGTACATGAATATATATTAATAGATATTGTCCTCGGATCATGGATTAGTGATTTTTTTAATACTAACAAGTGGATAAGCATCTTGCAAGTCTGTTGTTGGCACTGTACTCTGTTGAAGATCAACGTTGGTCTGACCAAACCACTCAGCTTCATCATTTCGCACACAATGCAGAGAATCTCTCTCGATCTTCCGATCAATCGCCACGTGAAGATATGTGAAGGATGAAAATTGTGCATCTATAGACTAATACAGCTTGGATTATTAGGTTGCTTGTGATATAAATTTACATCTGCCTTGTAATTTTACTTTGTATATGTGTGCTTCCCACAAGCTGCTGTCGATCCTTCTTCCAGCTAAGGCAATACATGTTATAAGGCAATTTGTCAAAGCTTGGAATTACCCCAACGCAAATGCAGAAGAAATGTAACAAATATCTTGTCATCATGCTCTTGAGACTTCGAAATATATAGGTCATTTGCCCCATTTGGCAGTCGTCCGACTACAAAATCAGGTAAGGAGGAAGTGTCGGAGGTATCAGGTAAAGAGGGAGAATTGCCTGCCAACGGCGTATTAAGATCACGCGCCGCTTTTCAGCTTAGAAATGGCACGTTTAACGAAAAAATAAATACACGTGATATCAGACTACACCTCCTACCGTTGTTTCAAGCCTCATGTGATTTATGGATGATCTCTAAAAAAACTTTCTTATTTTAACATACATGAAAATATAATATTTTTTCATAAATTGAATAGGTAATTATTTAAGAAAATAGCTAAAACTACTTACCTCAGGTATACGTCAAATAGTTACGTTATTTTATTACACGCGTAGGCCACAGGCGTGAACCAAGACAAATTAAGATTTTATTAACAGTATACTATGGTAGGTTCTAGGAAAACAATCTGGTAGCACAGCATTTCTCTCTGTCATTTTCTATTCTGAGAACAGTGCACGAAAGAACACAAGACGAAAATTTTTGTTCGTTTTTTACTGTTTGTTCATTTTATAGTCAAATCTAAGAGTATTGAGTAAAATACTTGTAAATAAAAAGTGAAGTTAGTAGAAAATTAAAAAACTGTGTGTTTGTGTGTAATAAATGTACTGAAATAATGCCGCTAAATGCAGACGACATCGCTAAACGTTATCCAATTCATTGGCTCGTTTGGAATAACGAGCATGAAGAACTCAAAAACTTATTGGAAGCTAATAAGGTATGCATAATGCTATCATTAAATATGTAGCTCAATTTAGGACATAGGCAAACTTGTAATGTTTAACTGTTTAATAAATAATTAAAAATTATTATTAGTGTAGCTAGGCGGCGTAGCGGTGTTATGCATTAAAAATTGATACTTGGCTATAAGAGTTTGTTGTTAAATTTAAATTAACATGTAACAAAAAGTCATTACGAAAATCTACATTTAAACAAGCGAAATAAAATAAATAAATAAATCATATCAAGATCTTGAAAACTATGCCTGATTGACTTGAAATTTGGCATAACTAACAAAGGATTTTGTAAAATTCAAACCCTGATGGGGTGAAATAGAGTGTCACACCTTGTACTTTCTATAAGAGTACAAAAATCTGTAAAATTTGATATCTTATAATCAAACAGTTACAATTAGGGTTTGCCCTAGTGAGGATTAGATGGAGTGGTGATCTGGTAAGAGATACCTACAGGAAATAAAAGGATGCAGGTGGCCTATTAATGAGCTTTATAGGCATTTTGGGAAATTTCAGCAGTGGATTTGTGATGAACCTTAATGCTGATGATGATGAATCAAGCTTTGAGTATCTTCTTTTTGGTTAGCTTTAGATGTTGGTTTTTACGTTTTATAAAAGTTTAATTTTTTATCCTTTTGAGCTATCAAAGAATATCACAGGTTCAAGGTGATATTCCTTAGATATAGAACATCATGTAAACAGTAATTTTTAAATCATCATGCCCATTTTTCCGCCCGTAAGACTGTTATTTTTAGTGATCGACCGAAGATTCGATTTCAGCAAGTTTCAGCAAAAAAACCTAGTTTCCGTAATAGTTTCCTTCTATTTGACACCAAAAGTTTTTTACAATCTTAACACATGAACGGCAACCCAAGCATCGCACAAAAAATAGCATATATTGTTACTTTTATTTTGAGAAAGGAGCGAGTCAAGTGGCATGCTATAACTTTAATGTTAAGTATGGTTCAAGTTCTTAATTTGCTTGTGCCGAAAGTCGTAGTTCATGTATAATTGTATGTCGTTTGGATGAGTTTGTGACACTTGTGTTACTCCTTAGTAAGTTAAAAGTATTGTAATCTTTGTTGAGACTTATAATTATATTAGGTTAAGATCTCATTGAATAATATATTACTTCTAACATAATTGTGAACACAATAAAATATGTTCTAAGCAAGTGAATTTTTATATGTGTAAGTGTTGATTTATCACAAAATTTACTTAAAAAAGTATTTATATGTGTTAAATTTTGAATGTTTACTTTGAAATAAATTAATTTATTGCTATGTGACTATTACAATTACTGTTTTTCATTAACATGAATTACTTATTTGTACATGTTGTGTAAATAATATACCAGATTACAGTATACAATTAAAAAAAAATTACATGTTCAAATGAGTTTTGGTTTCGGTTTTTGTTGAAAATCCTGTTTCAGTCAGATTCTAGTTATTTTCTCTTCAAATTTATATGGGACCACTCTTAAGGTACAACTTATTTAATAACCCCTTGCGTGGCGACCGACCAGAATCTGGCCGATGGTTTATCATGTGCTTCTGGCAGGCGACCAGATTCTGGCTGATCCGCGACTGTGTATTTGGCAGGTAAAATTATGATTTCTATCACACTTTTACTTATAGAAAATTATACACCAAATAAAGAGGATGCGATACAAAGCTACTAAAGTACTACAATGTTTAGAAATTTTGAATAAACAGCCTGTGTGGCAGTTGTATGCGAATGTCTCTTTTATGTGGTCGCCCGTCCCGGTTTTTGTCCTAATTTTTATTTGTAAATCAAACAAATTGTGAAGTTTGGTGCTATTTGAACATAGAAGGGCTAATAACCAACAGTTTTGAATTAGTAAATTAGGGATGTACTTAGTTTATTCATAATGTAGGGATATACTTTTTATTAAAAAAATTTTTTTTTTCAAACATAAAGGGTCGTTATACTTACACATACCTTACATTTATCTCTATTGTTGATTAAAAATACATTACATACTTTTTAGAAATGAAACTTTGTCTAAATTAAGAACTTGAACCATACTTAACATTAAAATTATCGCATGCCACTTGACTCGCTCCTTTCTCAAAATAAAAGTAACAATATATGCTATTTTTTGTGCGATGCTTGGGTTGCCGTTCATGTGTTAAGATTGTAAAAAACTTTTGGTGTAAAAAATATATAGGAATGTGTGGTTTTTTGCTTTTTTATTATAAATTAGTGTATATTGATGAAAATAAATTACATTTATTTTTAATTATATTATTTATAAGTTTTCTAACTTTGAAATTGGCTTAATAAAATCTATTATGTTAATAGCAAATAATATAACGATTCAAATGTCATAAGTTTTATACATAGCTTCCATACAATATTTTAGAGAAATTACTAATTTAATCGCCACGCGCTGATATCGCGGATTTTACCTGCTAATGCCTTAGCAGATGCGCATTATTTGCAAATGGCCGGCAGGCATACAAGGGGATAAAAAGAAATATTATAAAATTGGTATTGGATAAACAAAGAAGTTACACCTAACATATATATATCATGTAATATATACAGATGATTTGAGAACCTCCTCTTTTAAAAGCCAGTTAAAAAGAATAAAGTTAGATTATAATTATCACTTAGTTTGTTAGTAATGGGCTGTTTCTGCAAATCCATTTCCATTTATAATTGGATTGTAGGATAGGAATGACATTACATTATATACATGATAGAGCCACTCTGCAGCAACATTATGGTTGTAGCACAAATAGGTCGGCTCAATCAGGGTAGGACCACATTCTAACAGAATAACAGCATAAAATAGCAGCTTAATGCTGCTGTATTTCATTTGTTGAGTGTAGAGAACCGGAGACACTTTTTACTGAAAACAAGGCATTTCATCTTGTCAAGGGTGAAAATGCATCTGCATTTTGATTCTCAAATGAGGATAAATGTGAATGTCTTTAGGATACAGCATCCAATTCCTATCAGATAGAATGTGTGTTTGTTTGTCACCCTTATCAAATTATCAAATAAGCCAGTATGAATAAATTATATTTTCTCTGAATGTTAAGGATTTTGAGTTTGATCCAGTTAATGTTGCTTCTTGTTGTATGTGTAGGTAAAAGTAAGTAAAGTTACAGCCTATATATGTCCCACTGCTGGGCACAGGCCTCTCCTCATTTCTGAGAGGGTTTTAGGGCAAGGAAGTGTCCGCCGCGCTGCCCCAATGCGTGTTGGCGAACTTCACATGTCTTCAAAATATTTTTTTTCTTATTCCTCAGACGTGTAGGTTTCCTCACGATGTTATCCTTCACCGGCAAGCACGTGGTAAATGGTGTAGGTAAAGTAGAGTTAATTTGCACATAATAGCTTTTGAAGTAATTTATTATTTGAAAAGCTTTTATTATTTTGTTACATTATGTCATAGCACTAACTACAAAAAACTATTATGTGGAAATGATTTTATTTGTTTGAGTACTTTAAAGTCGGCTTCTACTTTTTATTACAAGTTAATTTTTTTAATTTATTTTCATTTTACTGTATTAATTACGGAAAAGTAATATTAATGTTTGGTTTAACAACACAGTAACAGAGGACAGCTCTAAAATGACATCATCCAGTGCTAGTGACTCACATACAATAGTACATTTTAATCTACACCTCTGATAACATTATAACAAACCATTGAATTTATTAGCATCTATGCAGGTTTCGAATGTATCAACTATCAAGGCTAAAGATATGTTTTGGTGTTACAAGTAGCTCCAAGATGTTAAATACACATTTTAAACCTGGAAAAAGTGGTATAATTTATAAATTCACAATTTCTGACACTATTTAATTACATGGCGAGTAAGAATACTCACTACACCATATCTTCCCATAGGTCTTGTAAGAGGTTACACGACAGGGAAGCTGATGCAGGAGATGGATCTTTCTAATAAAATAAAAAAACTGTTCCCATTATGGCAATATACCCCCATGGCGAGAGTTACAAAGAGACGGCTCCCAATCCCTGGTGGCTCCACTATTCCTGGATACAGTGGTGACCATGTTAACGATTGGGCAGGGGGTGCTTAGAATCTCTGGTGGATGTTAAGTTGCCACCTAAGATGACTTGACCTGGCAATATATAAAGCATGCACCCTAAGGACTGACGAGAAGAATCTGGAGCTGGAAGAAGCGATAGACAAGTTACGCTGGGATATTATAGGATTATCTGGAGTCTGAAGAGAGGTGGAGGACATGGTAATCCTTGAATCCAGCAACTTTTTCTATCAACTAGAGGGCAAACAACTGTCCCAAGAGATGTCGGACTTATCGTCCACAAGTCTCTCAACACAGTTAACAACATCGTAAATCCTCCTAATCTTTTAGGAGTGTGTCGACGAGGGTTGCGTATCTTATACTCAGAATCACCAAACGGTAAGGTCATACAGGTTGGCGCACCAACCTTGGCCCCTCGAGAGGAGGTAGAGGAAATGTAAATGAGGATATCTAAAGAGCCATGCATTCCTCCAAAACCCACCGTGTTAATGGCAAACTTCAGCGCAAAACTGGACAAAAGAAAAAACGGTGAACTGAAGATAGGGAAATTCGGAATAGGGCAACAGCACACATGGGGCCAGCAGCTAGCCGACTTAATGGTGTAATATGGACTCTATGATGAACTGTGAAGCGGCCCCACAAAGAGTAGACCTGGTCGAGCCCCGACAGTTCGACAAAAGTGAGATTTACTTCATTATGACGACCAGACGGCAACTGTTCAGTGATGTCTCAGTGATTGCGGCGGTGCAAACTGGGAGCGATTACCGAATGGTTAGAGGCACACTGAACCTTTAAGAACCTTTAAGTTAGAGACGTCATGTCTATTGAAGTCAACATTCTGTTCCCCTCATGCTCTAATCCAAAGTCCCGTAAACTTTTAGCTCGACTTACAAAACGGTTTAAAGTGCCTAGAAGACTGCAATGCAGTAGACAATAT